GTGCCTGGCCGAGTCGCCCGGGTACTGGGGGGCCCTGGCTGTGGCCTTCGGATGGTGGCCCCAGTGCCAGGGGACCCTGGCTGTGCGCCTGGGACAGCTGCCCTAGCGCCAGGAGATCCTGGCTGTGCACCTGAAATGGTGACCCCAGGGCGAGGGGAACCTGGTGGTGCTCTCGGGACAGCAGCTGGCATGCCAGCAGACCCAGGCTGTGTCCTCGGGACTGCAGCCCCAGTGCCAGGGGACCCAGGCTGTGTCCCTTGGATAGTGGTCCCAGTGCCAGGGGATCCTGTTTGTGTTCTGGGGACGGTGGTTCCAGTGCCAGGGGACCCAGGCTGTGTCCCTGGGACTGTGGCCCCAATACCAGGGGACCCAGGCTGTGTCCCTGGGACTGTGGTCCCAGTGCCAGGGGACTCTGGTTGTGCCCCTGGGATGGTGGCCACAGTGCCAGGGGACCCTGGTTGTGCCCCTGGGACGGTGGTCCCAGTGCCAGGGGACTCTGGTTCTGTTCTAGGGACACTGGCCCCAGTGCCAGGGGACTCTGGTTCTGTTCTGGGGATGGTGGTCCCAGTGCCAGGGGACCCTGGTTGTGCCCCTGGGACGGTGGCCCCAGTGCCTGGGGACTCTGGTTCTGTTCTGGGGATGGTGGTCCCAGTGCCAGGGGACCCTGGTTGTGCCCCTGGGATGGTGGCCCCAGTGCCTGGGGACTCTGGTTCTGTTCTGGGGATGGTGGCCCCAGTGCCAGGGGATCGTGCTTTTGCCCCAGGGACGGTAGCCCCAGTGCCAGGGGCCTCTGGCTGTGCCTCTGGGACAGTGGCCCTTATGCCAAGGGATCCTGGCTGTGGCCCAGAGAAAGAGACCTCAGTGCCAGGGGACCCTGACTGTGGCCCTGGGACAGTGGCCTGGGCTCTCTGGGACCCTGGCACTGTCCCCGGGCTGCCAGCGCTGGTGTCAGGAGCCCTTGTCCCATGCACAGAAGGGCCCCTCTGGGTGGCTGGTGCTCCGGGCATCCCTGCTCGTGTCCCCTCGGAGTCAGGCAGTGTCCCTGGAGTCCCCTCTCTGGGGCTGGCCTGGACCCCTGCGGCCTTGGCAGCCACTCCGGGGGCTTTGCCAGAGGGGAACCGGCCCATTTGGGGCTCCTGGAAAGAGAGGAGAAAGGAAACAAGGTCACAGGCAGGCTCCAACCTCCAGCAAGGGCAGCATCCTCATGCCCCAGGGACACCCAATCCCAGGATGCTGCCGTGGGGCTGGACCACACGAGAAGACTCAGGGGACCGAGGAGCTGGCCAAGCCATGTCCCTCATCCCTCAGCCCGCGGCACCGGCTCACCGAGGCCAGTAGCTCCTTGATCCTTCGGATGTCCTCCTCCACGCGGAGCTGGGTGGCCTTCACGCCGCTCACCTCGCTGAGGAGGTCCTGGAAGAGGGCCATGGCCTGCAGGGACGGGAGCCGGGTGAGCGGGGCCACACGAGGAAGGCGATGGTGCTGCTTCCTCCTGGCACGTGGCCGCGGATACGAATCCAGGCCTGGCTGCCCACGCCAGGCTCCAGGCAAGGAGCTAATCGGAGGGACAAGGAGACGCTGCCTCCTGCTCCGGCGCAAGCAGCAACCGCCTCTAGGGAAGCAAGGAGAGATGGAGCAGGGCCCTGTGCCGAGGCCGGGTGAGCAGGGAGCTGCCTGCCCCGTGCCGGGACCTCCCTGTGGCCATGTCCCCGCTCGGGGGACACCCGCTGCTCACACGTGGCACCGGGCTTTCCTCCAGATGTGCCAGCCCCTGCACGGCAGCAACCTGGGGTCCTGCCGTGGCCTCGCTGCTGCAGGACCACAGCAGCGACCCCAGAGCCTTTTGTGGGGAGAGATGGAAGGAGAGAGGATGGGGATGAATCCGCAGAGATGCTGAGAACCCCCCGGGAGGAGCGGGACCCCCGTGCGCTCGGCACCGCTGAGGGAGAGCTGGATCAGACCCGCAAGGGCTCTCATGGGCAGCATGGGAAGGACGCGGCGCAGCTGGAAGCAGCGTCCCCATCCCAGCTCTTCCTCCCTGAAACTCCACTGCTTCCCCCGTGAAGCCCCCGGCCGCCATGGAGCACAGCTGGCAACAGCAGCAGGCTCCGATTTCAGTGGCCCTGCCAAGACCATTTCCTAAGGAGCACAGTCAGCTCCAAGGACACGGCACAGCCTTGGCTAGACAGGAGGGACGGACACGAGCAGAGCCCGTTACCAAAACCAGGACAGGCACCAAGCAGGGACGGCTCCTTCTCTGGCCCAAACTCTAACTCAGTGGCAGCGATCAAGGTCTCCCCTTGCTACTACTGGAAAACGAGTGGCGTGGAGAAGTGTTCATAACGTCCCGAGACAGTCTGGGTGCTTCTCATAGCCCAGATCTAACCTGAAACTCGCTGTTAAAACGCCTCATTTCCCTCCATGGGTTAACTTGATCTCTGGGGGTCAGGTCACCTCCGTTCCCAGAGCTCTGTTTGGGGGAAGCTCTCACCTTGGAGACGCCGCTCTCGTTGGCTTCGATCTTCTTCTTCATCTGCATCATCTGCCACATGTCGGCCACCACGGAGGGGGCCTGCGAGCTGCTCGTGGTCCTTTCCAGCAGCTCCATCCCAGAGGGCAGGCTGTCCAGGGAGACCATCTGCTTCTCCAGCTCCTGGAGCTGCCGGCCCATGTCCTGGAGCTGCGTCTCCACCGCGACCACCTTCTTCTCCAGGCGGTCGTAGGGCACCTTCTCACGGAGCGGTGCCCGGTCCGGGGGCGGCGCGGGCAGCGGCGCCAGGCTCTCCTCGTGCATCTCGGTCTTGACGTCGCTCAGGTTGAGGTGCTGCAGGATGGCGTGCAGCAGGCTGTGCAGCGCGTTGAAGTTCACGGCGCCCACCTCGGGCATGCCGATGGCCAGGTCGGCCAGCTCGTGCAGGCTGATTTGCGCCATGGCAGCCGCCCGCGACGCCGTCGGGAATTAACCACCCAGAGCGCGACCTTGTCGGGAAACAGAGCGTTGGAAGCTGGGACGGGTCAGGAGGGCCCAGCCTTCCTCCTCCTTCATCCTCCTCTCCCGCAACCCCCAGGGAAATGGGTAAAACCCCAT